GCCCAGTACATACTCTTTCTCGCTGAAGCTTGTTGGACGTAGGTGCTCCAGAGGAGGTGAAAGAATGGGACCCTGGAAGAATGGCTTCTCAGTTCTGTGTAGAGATCTGGCAAGGTACTGAGCAATTTACTAGTAAGCTTACTATGGCTCTTAGGCAAACTTGAAAAGAAATACACCTGCCTGAACAAAATGGTTTTATTCTTTCAACAGTTAGGTTGTTTCTTTGGCATATAAGCATTGTGGGACTGAACAAAGCATACTAGCCCTTCTCTCCATTGTTCTAGTTTTGAATTTTACTAATTTGATCATAGACACACAGGTAGATACAGATGTTCTGAAGACAGTGACTGTGCTGGGCAGAACATGGACCTCTAAAGACATCCATCTCTTAATCCCCAGAACCTGCAAAATGTACTTTGCAGATGTGACTGAATTAAGGATGTTGACATGGGATATCATCCTGGATTATCACATTAGGACCAATGTAATCATAAGGATGTAATAGAGGGGAAAGGGAGGCAGGGGAGTCATAGTCGGAGAAGGAGATAGTACAATGAAATGATTCATTTGCTGGTTGTCAAACGCTGGAAGTGTCCAGAAGCCCAAAAAGACAAGAAAAGGAATTCTCTTCCGGGGCCTCCAGCATGAACACACCTCTGCTGACACCTTGATTTTAGTCTCCAGAAACCCATTTCCAGCTTTCCGACTTCTGATCTCCAGAAGTGCAAGATTATGATTTGCTCTTAAAACAGGCACGGCTGCTGTTGAGCAGCGCTCAGGTCACTCTTTGTGACCCCATAGACTGTAGCCCACCAGGCTCCTCTGTCCATGGGATTTTCCAGGCAAGAATACTGGAGTGGGTTGCCACTTCCTCCTCCAGTTTAAGGCACTATTTGGCAGTAATTTGTTAGTTGCGATAGGAAACTAATACAATACCAAAAGTCATGAGTGTGGTGGCCGCAGAGTGGGCATCTGGGTATAGTTGTTGGTGGATAATTCTAATCCATGAAACCTAGAGTTTCTCATTATGAATATTGGATCTACCAAGGCCTAGTTTGTTCTGGTTTTCAGGATTTTTTTTCTGAAATATTCTAGGTCTCACAAATGCACAACACTACACCACAATGGAACCGGTGAAGTTTGGGAATCTGGTAAATGACCTCAGCTGGACTCACAAATTTCTTGGCCCCTGGTCCGGAAATCCAGGACCTGGAGAAGTTCCATCTGAACCTGGACAACTCTGCCAGGATGAGCTATTCCTCCACAAATCCGCCATGCTGCTCACTTGTAATTGGGGTTTGGTCAATGAAACCTCTGGGGACTTTCCTGAGCATCTTGAGCCACTTGTCACGTGGGTTTAGTGGCTGCCATCCTTTGGAGAACACAGAATGCCTTTGAATTATGTTCAAAGAAAGGCGCGCATGCACACTCACTCACGTCTGACTCTTTGTGACCCCATGGACTGTAGCCCGCTAGGCACCTCTATCCATGGGATTTCTCAGGCAAGAATACTGGAGTGGGTTGCCATTTCCTCCTCTAAGAGAAAGGAGTGCAGGAAGGTAAAAATCTAGACAGAGAGAGAAAGATTGAGGATGAAGGAAAGGAGCAAGGAGGGACTCTTTCTGCTGCCAATGCCAGGCAAAGCCTGGTGGCGAGCTAATGATGCCCACCCAATTTTCCACCTTAACGGGCCCAGCAACGCTGTGGGCAGAGCATGCTAATCAGAGAATAGAAACGGAAACTGGAATACCTATATTTTTAAATTAAATTCTTGAAGAACTTGTATCACTTTACTTTCAGATATTTATTTTATTCATTTTACTCACCTATAGGTCAGGGCTTCAGAATATCTGCTTCTTTTTCAAACTTCTTTCTGTTCCTCTGGAAAATGGAAACCAATGCAAATACTCAATATCATATTGTGAGCTGGGCACTGTATCAGACACTTCATATTTTTAAATAGTGCGAAACCCATTAGATAATTACTATTGTCCCAGTTCTAAGATGAAGTGAGCACAACCAGAGTGAGTGACTTTCACAAGGACTCATTTCTGGTAGAGGGGCTGGTGTTCAGGCAGAAACCTATACTAAGGCCTAGACTCTTGAGGGCTCTGCTCATCTTTGTGAAGTGAAAGTTGCTCAGTCATGTCCAACTCTTTGCAACCCATGGACCATAGCCCGCCAGGCTCCTCTATCCATGGGGATTTTCCAGGGAAATCACTGGAGTGGGTAGCTGTTCCCTCCTCCAGGGGTTCTTCCCAACCCAGGGTTTGAACCCAGGACTCCCGCTTTGCAGGCGGATTCTTTACCCTCTGAGCCACCAGGGAAGTCCCTGCTCGTCTTTGGGTTCATTTAATATTTATCTGGGCTTCTCTGGTGGCTCAGCAATAAAATACCTGCTTGCAGTGCAGAAGCTTGGGTTTGATCCCTGGGTCAGGAAGATCCCTGGAGAAAACGGCAACCCACTCCAGCATTCTTGCCTGGAGAATCCCATGGACAGAGGAGTCTGGCAGGGATACAGTCCATGGGGTTGCAAGAGTTGGACATGAATTAGTGACTGAACAACCACTATCCACTAATATTTATCTGATATTTGTTTAGTACCTACTGTGTATGAGGCATTGTTCAGTGAGATGCAGACAGCAGTGAACAAAGACAATAATTACTGTCCCTAAAAAATTTACATTCTTTTGTGTTGGCAAGACTCTGGGTTTACTTCATTGGTAGCCTAGGATATTCAGCAATATATATACATCACATGGCAGTCAGAGAGATGATTAATTCTGAGCAACATCCTAGTTATACTTTCCATGGGCACCTGACTTCAACCTTAACAAGAGCCCAGAGAGAGTTCTGAGTTCACACTTCATGTTAATTTGCATATTTAACAAGAAGGGCTGGACTTATGCATTTGTGATTCAGGTTTTATCTCTAGATGACTCCCAAGGGATGACAGGCAACCGTGTATTTCTCAAGTACCTCTGCCTTCTGTCCTGCTCTTTGAGGACTAGAACACTCCAGGCCCAGCAAGGCAGCTGTCCTGGACGGGGTGTTCCTTAAATACTGAATTCAAGTATGTGTGTGTGATTCTCTCAGTTGTGTCCGACTCTTTGCGACCCCATGGACTGTATCCAGCCAAGCTCCTCTGCACATGGAATTCTCCAGGCAAGAAGACTGGAGTGGGTTGCCATTTCCTACTCCAGGGGATCTTTCTGACCCAAGGGTTGAACCTGGGATTCCTGCATTGCAGGCAGATTCTTTATTGTCTGAGCCACCTGATACAGATGCATTGAGTCCAAAGTCTTTTTAAATGTGTGAATTCAACAAATTCTTTCATGTGGGTAATTCCCATAGCTCCCTACACTTCTTAGAACTTCTGTCTCACATTACTTTTTCATGCTGCCGGAAGTACAGTGGAATTTCTATGAAAATGAGTTTTTCACTTTTAAAACATTTTTAACAGGCAATGAATGAAATTACTACCATAATTGTTGAAACACATAGACGTGTAAGGCAAAGGAAAATATTTTGGTGTATATACGTAGACATATGAATACCTGTGCTATAAAGCACTTATAGGCATGCTTGTCTCAAAGATGGAACTCTTGGAGCAGCCTGCCACCTTCAGGATAACTTCACAATTAACACTACCAGAGAACACTGGTTTTAGCCTCTGTAAATTCCAAATACCAATTCCAGTAAAAACAGTTCATGATAGTTAATGGTGGAAGCTATGTTCCTTTTAGAACTTTTGCTATGATTACTATATGCAATAATTTTATTAGTTTTCTTTAAGGAAAACAGCCCTTTCTTTAGTCTGAGATTCTTTTAAAAATCATTACTTAACTTACTGTTCTATCATTTCACTGCTTTTAAACCTCATTTTGCTAAGGAGAGCTGAGAACCCTAAAAACAGGTCTTGCAGCTACAGTCTGAAAAATACGGTAACTTTGGAAACTCTGCTACTTTTTAGCGGGTTCTTTATGAATTAATGACAATATTTTTGAAGACTGTTAAATAAAAGCAACACAGTAATCCTTTCAGAGGGAGGAGGAGGAAGAGGGAGAGAAGGGGAGGGAGGGACAGAGAAAGAGGAAGGTTAAGAAAACATGTACCACCATGTTCTGTTCTTGTTCTGTTCTGTTGTTGTCTGTTTTTTTCCTATTGGCTGTTTCTTTCACTAAGTTACAAGGAGGTCTCCGTGGCTTAAAAAGAATAAGAAAGGTGTAGAACAAAAGAGAAATAGGCTAAGGAATGATGCAATGACTTAATGGCACAGAGACACAACACAAGTTAGAATTAAAAATACACAAAAAGAAGGAAAAGGGGGAGCATAACGGAAATCGATAGGTCAAATGCGTTACGAGAGCGCGATGTAAAAGATGATGGAAAAAGAGAACAGGGCTCAGATACAAACGCAACAGATTCAAACGAAACGGGACAGGAAAATAAGCGACATTTAAACAAAAGAGCGACAGAACAAATACTCATCGAGAAGGAGTAAGCTTTCACTATTTTCCTTTCACAAAAGGAGGAAAGGTCTGTTTTAGGACCTTCCTTTAGCCATTAATTCCATTTTTATTGGCTTCCTCCGGTTCCACCGACCTGTGAAAGGACTCAAGGTCAATTTGCTTAGACTGAATCTCAGCCTGCAACTTTGGGATCACGTGGGAAACTTGAACCAACGGCCGGCCTCACTCGGGAGGGATTAAGTCAGAAAACCAGGGGGGAAACCCGGCAAGAAAATTGTTTTAAAGCTTCCCGCCCAACCCCACCAGGCCGTAGAGCGTAAAAAACAAGGTGTGCCCAAGCCCTAAGTCCCGCCCAAATCGCGGGAAGCAGCCGCAGGTGGGAGCGTGTCTCCGCCCCAGAGGGAGGCGCTCCGTTTGAGATACTCTGGGTGGAGACGCGGCGTGCGCCCTCCCGGCCGCTAGGGGGCGAGCTGCACGCATTTAGCGCGCGTTTTGAAGCTCTAGCGCGGGTCGCCCCAGGCGTGCGCATGCGCCGGTGTGTCCCGGAGGTCGCCCGCGCCGCAGTTTAACCACGTGTGGTGTAACTTAGGGCATCATGTTGTGAAGAGATGGGGGCTGCGGTGGCTCGCGCGGTCAGGAATTTCAACCTAGAGAACCGGGCGGAGCGGGAAATCAGCAGAATGAAGCCTTCCCCCGCTCCCAGGCACCCCTCCACCAAGAACCTCCTGCGAGAGCAGATGAGCAGTGAGTGCTGCCGGGGCGCCTGGGGCCCTGGCGCTCGGGTGCGGGTTGAGTGGTGGGCCTCGGTGCAGTGGAGGGGGTGGCCGGGGTCAGCTGCAGTCACCCGGGTCAGCCGAACTCGGGAAGGTGGAGCCACCGGGCTGGTGACATTGAGCCTGTCTCCTTGCTCCCGCGGAGCCGGCGGCTCCGCCTACTCCGTAGTCCTGGGGGTGTCGGCGTCTGCCCATGCTGACCCCGCCCTCCTCGGCTTTAATGCTTTGCGGCGTGATACAAGGAATCAAAATCAGAAGGAATCGTATGCAGGAGAGCTCTCTAGACGTCTTCGCAGAACAGTGGACACTGAACTTGACCTAGCATTATGAGTTACATTTAAAACACGTCCTGTTGTGTTCCAGTGAATGTTGATTAAGCAAAAAATAAAGTGACTGTCTGAAAGAGAAAGCAACTCACAGATTTAGAAAACGAATTTATGGTTGTCGGGGGTGAGGGTGGGGGTGTAAGGGATAGTTAAGGGCTTTAGGAAGGTCATGTACACACTGCTATATTTAAAATGGGTAACCAACGAGGACCTATTATTTAGCACATGGAATTCTGCTCAACATTATGTGCCAGCCTGGATAGGAGGGAGATTTGGGGGAGAATGGATACATGTATATGTATGGCTGAGCCCCTCACTGTTCACCTGAAATACCACAGTATTAATCAGCTCTGCTGCTGCTGAGTCGCATCAGCCGTGTCCGACTCTGTGCGACCCCATAGACGGCAGCTCACTAGGCTCCTCTGTCCCTGGGATTTTCCAGGCAAGAATACTGGAGTGGGTTGCCATTTCCTTCTCCAATGCATGAAAGTGAAAAGTGAAAGTGAAGTCGCTCAGTCGTGCCCTACTCTTACAGACCCCATGGACTGCAGCCCACCGGGCTCCTCCGTCCATGGGATTTTCCAGGCAAGAGTACAGGAGTGGGGTGCTATTGCCTTCTCCGTAATCAGCTATACCCCAATACAAAATAAAACTTTTAAAGTTGGGGGGGGAAAGTGACTGTTAAGTGTTAAGATCTTACAGGAAATTTTCTTTGGCTTTACAGTTGTAACATTCTTTTTCTTTCCTTAGGCCATCCAGAAATTAAGGGAGAAATTGATAGAAAAGATGACAAACTGCTGTCATTACTAAAAGATGTGTATGTTGATTCCCAAGATCCCGTGTCTTCTTTGCAGGTAATGTGTGTTTTCATTAAGTAAATATATAATTTAACTCCTTGGAGCTCCAGGAGAATCACGTAGAGAAGTGTGGCCAACAGTAAAAGAGAGTATGCGTTCTGCAAGTGTAAAGTGTCAGTGTGCTTCTGAACCAGAGTGCGGAGCTTGGGCAAAGTTGAAGCCCAGAGGTCTAAGCAAGACACAGATGCCTCTGTTCATTGGTATTTATTGAAATCTAAAAGACTTGTGAAAAAATGAGTAACAGACTTGTGAAAGTATTGGTAGAATGCACCTGTTATTTCAGAGTGTATAGGATTTGGTAGGGAACTTCGACCAAATGACAATTGGTCACTTGAATGACATTTGAATGACACCAAGAGAGAGCTTTAATACTATTTTCTCTTCCTTCAATGGTTTGAGGTATGTTCTGATCTCAGAGCATTTTTTAGTGTTGTGTTGTTGGTGAGCTTTTTTTTTGTTTGTTTTTTAAGAAAATATTCAGATAGGACATGTCCCTGTAAAAACAGGGACATCGCGGAATACACTGGGAGTGGGAACCTGTATGTAAATATCAGGCACAGGTGCTCTGTGTCCAGTGATGAACACAGCAGTTCTAGTCCTTGCTCTCACAGAGCTTATAGTGTTGTGAGGGACTCAGGCATTAAACAAATGAGCAACCACAGGTACACAATGACTTAAGTCTGTAAAGAAGTGTAGGCACTGAGCATATCAGGGAGCTTTTTGAGCTTTTTGAGATAGAAGGATCAGGGATGGTTTCTGAGGAAGTGGCATTCAGACTCAGGCCTGAAGAATGGGTGGGTGTTAGCCAGATGAGTTCATGGGGGCAGGAAGCTTCTAAGTATGGAGAAGAGTTTGATTAAAGGAGAGGGAAGTGCCAGTGACAATTCCCTTTTCATTCTAAAATTCTCCAATGCCTTTCTCTGTAGATAGGCAATAAACTGCACAGATATGTTAATAGTTATTAGTATAATTTTAACTAGGGAAGAGAAAACTCACATGTAAAATAAGGTTTGTAGCTTGTTACAACAACAGTTACAGGGTTCAGTTATCAGATGTTCACACACACACAAATATATGGGGGTTGATGTTCATGTTCTTTATATTATCTTTAGACAGGTGTTAGATAATACTTCTGCATTGTTTCTCTCACATGTACTTATTCATTCTAAAATTAACTCTTAAAAAAAATAAAATTAACTATTGGGGAACAAAAAACATTTAATACTTCTTATGTATAAATTACAGGAATGTAAATATAATACTTAGGAGATACACAATGGTGTTAAAATTTCTTGGAGGGGTATTAGGAAAAATCTGAAAAGACTCATTCATGGGCAAGTGATAGTGAAGAAAAGGCTGAAGTGCCTATTTATGTTTGTCTCTTTTTCTTTTGGGCAGTTCATAATTTTCTTAATGACTTGTGATGTCTTTAGACATCAGTGGTGCTGTGGCTGTCATTATGTCAAGTAATTTATTTTTGTCTGACTTTTTATCGCTATTCAAAATTTTGTGAGATATATTAGCCTTTTTGTGTTTCATTGTGTGGACTCAGTCTAACATAAAGACAGTCTTCTATATTTTCTCAGTACTTTTATGATTATATATTTTATATTAAAATCTTTATTTGGCATTAAATAAAGTTTTTGGTGAGGGAGAACTTTTCAACTGGATGGTCAGTTGTCCAAATATAATTTACTGAATAACCCAGTCCTTTTCCCACTCATTTAAAATGCTAAATACATACACATATAAGTCTGTTAACAGATTCATCAGTTCTATTTATTCTTCTGTGTCTACACTAGAATTATACTATTTTAATTAATAAAACTTTGCAAAGTATCTTGATACCCGTTATGATCTTCTTTCTTTCTTTTCAGAAGTTCTTTGACTCTTGCCACACATTTTTTCCCCATATGAACAGGTTCTTAAAAAGTCCTAGTTTGATTATGAGTGTCACTGAATTGGAATTTATAGATTAATTGAGGAGAATTAGCATTTTTGTTTTATTGAGTCTTTGAAGGGTAGAGGGAAGATTGTTACTATGGGGTCTCTTTTCTCCCTAAGTTTTTAACTACTTATTGCTAACATGTCACACAATAAAGTGATTTTTGTATTGCAGGTACCTGCTTTGCTAGGTTATTATTTCTCTTTGTTTTTCAGTTGATTCTCTTATATTTTTCTAAAGATAGTCTCATACATTGAAATGGAATTACAATTTTCTCTCTTTCTAGTATTTATACTTAATTCTCCTCTTGCTGTATCTGTTATTCTGTCCTGTTCTTTCCTTGCATAGGGTGCCTGTAATTTATTAAAATAAAGTGGTTTGGTCTGATTGAAAAATACTTTTATCACAGTTAGGATGTTTTGTTCTATTTTTAATTTTCTAAGGGTTTTTTTTTTTTTAAATTAAAAAAGGATGTCGAATTTATCAGATTTTTTCAGTGTCATAATATTAATTTTAGTATTTAATATTAATCAGAAGGGAAAACTGGATAAAAAAAGTATGTATTAGGTGGTAGGAAGATACAGGAGTAGGAAGATAAGGGAAACTTGAGGTTTTGGAAAGGGAAGTTGTTAGGAGTGATTTAAGCCAGAGTTGCAATATGAAGATAGGAGAGTGTGCGGTGCCTTTAGAGTTGAGTACAGTTAGGAGTTTCCCAGGTTGCTCGGTGGTAAAGAATCTGTAGGAGCTGCAGGAGACTTGGGTTCCTTACCTGGGTGGGGAAGATCCCCTGGAGGAGGCAGGCAGTGGCAACCCACTCCAGTATTCTTGCCTGGGAAGTCCCATGGACAGAGGAGCCTGGCGGACTTGCAAAGAGTGGACACAACTGAGAATGCACACACCCACAGTTAGAGGGAAGTATTGGGGTAGAAAGTTAATAGGGGCCAGATCATGAAGGTCGTTATTTGTCTTGCTAAGGAATTTGAGTTTTATCCTGAGGGCAGTTGGAAGTCACTGAAGAGTTTCCTGTGGAAGAGTGACCAGATTTGCTTCATTCTGAGGGCAGTTTTGAGGGAGGGAAAGGCATTTTATCCAGTGAAGAGGAGACCAGGCTTTTGCAGTAGCTCCTATAAGAGACATTGGCTTGGACAAGGGTAGTTAGCGACTGGGAGAGGAGCGAACAGGTTTGAGAGGGACTTAGAAACATGAGCAGGATTTGGTCATTGGTTGGTCGTAATGAGTGAGGAGAGGGAAGTGTCAACTATAACATAAGAGAAACTTGGAATCTTGGAGTGGGCTATGGGAGGTGGGTGGGGTTGGTCACTGAGCTAGAGAATATGGGGACAAAATTGTATTTTCAGAGAAAAGGGACAAGTTGATCTTTAAGGTACTTACAGGTTATCAAGTAAAAATGTAGTTAGTCATTTGGGAATTGGGATCTGAAAGTCAGAAGAAAGGTCAAGTTTTGAGACCATATTTGAGAGTCACTGATGTGTGGATAATAATAATAATGGGGTGGTGGGATTGCTTGGGGGGAATGTGTAGCGTGAGAAGAGGGCCTGGGCCAGAACTTGGGGGCATACTAACATTTACAGGGTAGCTGAAGTGAAATAGACCACAAGGAAGGAACTACTGCAGAGACAGATGGAACACTAGGAGAGAAGTGGTATGGAAACAACAAAAAAATTAGTTGTGGGTATGTGAGAGTGGTCAGCAGTGTTTGCTTAAGAAGTGTCAAAATAGTTGTGGGTATGTGGGAGTGGTCAGCAGTGTTTGCTTAAGAAGTGTCGTCTGGATTAAGATGTAATCCTCTAAATTTGAGATCACAAGTACTATTTTTTAAAGCTGAACTGAAAAGAGGGAAACTGGTCATAAAAGAAGAGTTGTTGTTGGATTTGATGAGTGTTTGTAAAAGTTGGTGACTAGGGCACTTTCTTTTCTTTTTTAAATTTATTTATGCACCAGCCAAGGCACTTTCATAATTTTACTGAAAAGCAGTAGTAGGCAGGGCACGTTTGAAAGGGAAAGTAAAGGGGCGGGGGGCTGTAGTTGATGTAGCTGATAGAGGAACGAAATACGAGCACAAACCCGAGGATTAAGCTTGGATCAGACAGGTGGAAAGATGGGTGTGGATAGGTGGTTTTATTTATATTCGTGGAGGTCTTGTAGGCATTATTTCATTTCCTCTGAAGAGGCAAGATCTCTAGCAACATTTGAATTCACTCAAGGTGTTTGGAGGCACATAATATAAATCGTAAAGAGCAGTATTGCATAGGAACCTGGAATGTTAGGCCCATGAATCAAGATAAATTGGAAGTGATCAAACAGGAGGTGGCAAGAGTGAATGTCGACATTTTAGGAATCAGCGAACTAAAATGGACTGGAGTGGGTGAATTTAACTCAGATGACCATTATATCTCCTACTGTGGGCAAGAATCCTTTAGTAGAAATGGAGTGGCCATCATAGTCAACAAGAGTCCAAAATGCAGTACTTGGATGCAGTCTCAAAAACGACAGAATGATCCCTGTTCGTTTCCAAGGCAAACCATTCAATATCACGGTAATCCAAGTCTATGCCCCAACCACCAATGCCAATGAAGCTGAAGCTGAACAGTTCTATAAAGACCTACAAGCCCTTCTAGAGCTAACATAAAAAAATATATATCCTTTTCATCATAGGGGACTGGAATGCAAAAATAGGAAGTCAAGAGATACCTAAAGTAAAAGGCAAGTTTGGCCTCAGAGTATATAAAATGAAGCAGGGCAAAGTCTAACAGAGTTTTTTCAAGGGGATACACTGGTCATAGCAAACACCCTTTTCCAACAACACAACTCTAAACATAGACATCACCAAATGGTCAATACCAAAATCAGAATGACTGTATTTTTTGCAGCAGAAGGTGGAGAAGCTCTATCAAAAACAAGACCTGGAGCTGACTGTGGCTCCGATCATCAGCTCCTTTTTGCAAAATTTAGGTTTAAATTGAAGAAAGTAGGGAAAATCACTAGGCCATACCAGGAAGGCATGACCTAAATCAAATCACTTATGATTACACAGTAGAGGTGACGAATAGGTTCAAGGGATTAGATCTAGTAGACAGAGTGCCTGAAGAACTATGGACAGAGGTTCATAACATTGTACAGGAGGCAGTGACCAAAACCATCCCTAAGAAAAAGAAATGTAAGAAGGCAAAGTGGTTGTCCAAAGAGGCTCCACACATGGCTGCAGAAAGAAGAAAGCAAAAAGCAAGGGAGAAAAGGAAAGATATACCTGACTTAATGCAGAGCTCCAGAGAAGAGCAAGAAAAGAAGGCCTTCTTATAATGAACAGTAGAGGGAAAAATTAGAATGGGAAAGACTAGAGATCTCTTCAAGAAAATTGGAGAGATGAAAGGAATATTTCATGTAAGGATGGGCACGATGAAAAACAGAAATGGTAAGGACCTAATAGAAGCAGAAGAAATTAAAAAGAGGTGGCAAGAATACACAGCTGAACTATTCAAAAAGGGTATTTACAACCCAGATAATCATGATGGTGTGATCACTCACCTAGAGCCTGACATCCTGGAGTCTGAAGTCAAATGAGCCTTAGGGAGCATTACTACAAACAAGGCTAGTGGAGGCAATAAATTCTAGCTGAGCTATTTAAAATCCTAAAAGATGATGCTGTGAAAGTGCTGCATTCAATATGCCAGCAAATTTGGAAAACTCAGCAGTGGTCACCGGNACGGTTAAGAAAGCTGAGTGGCGAAGAATTGATGCTTTTGAACTGTGGTGTTGGAGAAGACTCTTGAGAGTCCCTTGGACTGCAAGGAGATCTAACCAGTCCATCCTAAAGGAGATCAGTCCTGAATGTTCATTGGAAAGACACGTTGATGCTGAAACTCCAATACTGTGACTACCTGATGCGAAGAACTGACTCACTGGAAAAGACCCCGTTACTGGAAAAGACAACATTGCTGGGAAAGATTGAAGGCAGGAGGAGATGGGGACGACTGAGCATGAGATGGTTGGATGGCATCACTGACTCAATGGACATGAGTTGAGTAAATTCCAGCAGTTGGTGATGGACAGGGAGGCTTGGTGTGCTGCACTCCATGGGGTTGCAAAGAGTTGGACAGGACTGAGCGACTGAACTGAACTGAATATGAAAAGAAAACTAGGAAAAAGGATGAAGATTGTCAGGTAAGCTCTTAGAGCAGGATCAGTTTCCTGCCTTTCTAAAGCAGTTTATTTTTTCCAATCAACTTGTTATTCTTTTAATATATATGAAATAATGTGATGAGTGGATGATACCCATTTGATTGTTTTCTACCTAAATTTAAAGATTGAACTATGGTTGTGAAATATGGAAAAGCGCCATCAAACTAAGACTCATTGTAAAGAGAAATTGTAGTTTGGAGACGCATGGGTAATATTTGTTTGAAGAAGAAAAATAGAGATTCAAGGCACAGAAGTAGATGTCAGATATTTGCTCTCATCCTAAAAGCCTGGTTTTTGGTTTTTGTCTTTTGATACTAGGTAAAGGATGCCGGAACACATCAGAAGCCGAAGGAGTTCAGGTTGCCGAAAGACCATCAGTTCGACATGATGAATGTTGAGAACATTCCTAAAGGCAAAATTTCCGTTGTAGAGGCATTGACACTTCTCAATAAACATAAACTTTATCCAGACACGTGGACTGCTAAGAAAATAGCTGAAGAGTACCATCTAGAACAGCAAGATGTAAATTCCCTTCTCAAATATTTTGTTACTTTTGAAGTAAAAATCTTCCCCCCTGGAGACAAGAAAGCAATACAATCAAAATGAAGAGAATCTTGACAGGACTTTTCCTGTCCTTGTCCAAATGCCCTGTTTATTTTCCTCATGTGTAGCATGTTAAATTATATAAATTACCAATTGTGTTGAGTTCCCCTCTGGTGAGAGCTTGCTATTTATGAACTCTCTTGAATTTTCAGGATGCCTGATAGGATTGATTTTTCTCTTTTAAACTTTGGTTTAGTTTGTGTTCTTATGTAATATCAGCGTGACTAATCACATGTATAAATTTACTGTAAATAAAAGTTACTGTATTTTAAGCAAATCTATCATCAGCATTTAAATTGGTCATGTAGCCTCTTGGGAAATGTCCTGAATCCTTTGTTTAACATTCAGAGCTTCATCTTCTGGTGTAGGTGGCTGGTTTATTCTTCCTGTGGAATAGTGAAAGGAAGAGTTTTCCTGACTCTTAAGACTGGGACTTTTTTTTTTGTTGAGAAAAGGGACGCTTGACATTGAAGTCCATTAACAGTGTTTCCTGAATAAAGGCAGACAGGAGACTGGATACAAAACGGTAGAAAATATATTTTTATTACTGTTTCAGGGAAAAAGAACTAGTGGAGGCTTACTTTGTTTTGAATGAATTTTACATATAAAATAACTTTTAAAAAATACAAGCAAGAATTATTGTTTATAAACACTAATTGTCAGCCTCTGCTTTGACAACCAAACAGGTAAGTCCGAAAGCTTTCAGAGAGGCAGGCGGTGGAAACTCTCTGGAAAAAAAAAAAAAGTTTTCTCTGGACTTAATGTAAAAGTATAAGAAAATTTTAAAGCATAGTTAAATCAAAGAACCATGGTAAATTGAATTTGGTGATCAAATGCATGTGTTTTTTTCCGATATAAATACTGGTTGAAAGATGAGATAAAAAAGAGCAAGTAGAAATATAAAGTGTGATCACTGGAAAAGACTTGGAAAATTGCTGTCTCGATCATTTAACAAACTTATGAGCACAGTGTGAGCCAGTACTACGGTCTTCAGCAAGATTGCGTAAGTTTAGCTCTGTCATATTACTACCTCTGGGAGTTTGGGTAGATTGCACAACCTCTTTGAGATTGCTTCCTCTGTAAAATGAATATAATGCTGCTTTATTAAGTCGAAAGGTTACTGTGAAGATGCATAATAATTACAGAGGATGGAACAAATTCGACTTGAATTTTTGTAGTTGAGATGAGAAGCCCGGGGAAGTTTCCTGACCTATTTACGATTTTTCTGTAGTTTATTACATAGTCAGGCCCAGAGTTTAGGATTTTAAAGTCCTCGTGATATATTTTTTTCTGTGAGCTGTGGGATATTCATAGAATGTGGTAAGGAAAATTTCAAGTTATCAGTGTTTTTCTGAGGGAAGACAGGCATCTTCTACTTGACAGGGATTTCCCCTGGAAATAATACGGAAGGTGCTGAGGAATGAAGCATGGTGATGGAATGAGGCCTTTGTAATGCTAAGAAGAGAAAAACTGACAGAGATGGGAGTTTTCAGCTATGTTCAGATGCAGTTTCATTATGTGAATAAACTATACCTAGACCATATTTGGTTCAAAACCATTTTTTTTTTAAGAAAACAAGAATTCTGTCTTTAAAGTTGTGTTTTAAAACTCTGGTAACTCAAATCATCAAAACTGTTTTTCTTTACCAAATAGAGGTCAATACCTGTACTTGAATCATGGTAATGCTGTTTCTGAGCCATCTTCACTATTCAGATCTACACTGTGGATAGGCAGCTATAAATATGGCTGTGGTTGTGTAGTGTTGCGTGATGTTGGAAGTGTCCTCAATTGTAAAACAGGTAATAATTGCTAGCATTTTTAAAGCAATTACTGTACTAGGCATTGATCTGGGTGCCTTACATGTATTAACTTGCTTAATATTTACCACTGGTAGGAGGATAAGTACTGTTAATGTATTTTACAAGGAAAATTGAAGTACAGGGATCTATAAAAGTTTGCCTAGCAAATGTTGGAACCCAGATTTAAACTCTTAATAAGTTGTTTTCAAAACCTTGTGCCCCTGACCACGGCACTCCCTTCGTTGTTTCTCTGTGGGATTATAAAAATTAAGTGCGATGGCATGCAAGGTGCCCGGTCTGTGTGAAGCCAGGACTACGCAGTGCCCTGAGTATGAGAATCTTCTGTGGACCTCTGGAAAAATACACATCTGGGCCTTCTCTGCCGTGGTAGACTGCTTTAGTAAGGCTGAGAGACTTCTTTGTTGATGAGCTCTGGGTCAGGGATGTCTTAAGAATACTTAATGACCAGAGTGTTGCACTGACCATCTGTGGAGTTTAAATATCAACATTGTCTGAGTCTAAGTTTCCTATGAAAGAAGAAAAGGGAGAGGAGATAGGAGGGTAATTTTGAGGGAGTTTGAAGGAGAGCAATTTTATGGGGCATGAAAAAGGAAGAAGGGAATAATTCCAGGAGGTTCGTGGTTAGCAGGGTTGGGGGAAGACAGGGAGGTTAATCATAGGATGAGCAGAACTGGGATCCAGGAAGCTGATACAGAAAAGCTGCCCAACGGGGCGGATTTGACAAAGTTCTGCCATAAATACGGTCACCATATAATTTATTGCTCAAACAGACGCTTGAGAGTGAAGAGGGCACCAGTTACATTAGGACAACAGGCATAAGCTGGAATGTCTTGGACAAGCTAGGAGGTATGGTGAAGGGCATTCATGGAGAGCTTGGCCACCTGTGATCTGGCTGCAATCGGCTTAGCTCCGCATGGTCAACGTTTAGCACCTCAGCATTAGCCGATCAGGAGTGGCTCCTGTCTGTGCCAGAAGACTTTTCTTGGTCCCAACTAATGCTTAGGCATGGACATCCCCTCCTGCATATGTACTCCGTGCTCTAAAACACCGATAATCCCAAGGAAAGGGGGGTGGGGCCCTGGAGGTTTAGGTTAGTGTGATGACGCTTCTGTACTCTTACCTCCGGGGGTTGAACTGAAGTGGCACAGAGCGCCCTGAATTGGGGCTGAGCTTACAGACAGCTTATCGGGTACAAGCTGAAAATATATAAGAAATGAACACGAAGGATTAAAATGATTTTATACATCCTAAATAGCCATCACATTATACAGCTCATAACTTTATAGCTACTCTAGCTTACTTGTCTTGATAGACCGTTAAATGTTTTAAGAGGACTATCCATTTGTTTATCTGGCTACTCCATTTCTTCTGCTCTAGGAATATTATAATAGAACCGAGTTACTTGTTAGGAGAAATGGTGAACTAGCAGAAGCTCTTAGATCTAAGTCCATATGTAAAAACTCAAAGCTTTTCCTTCAGCGCATATAGGTGACTAATTCTGTGGCTTTCCATTGCCGTTGTCTGCGCTCTGACAATAGAACTGTGTCTTGGGAAGAACTGTAGGAGTTAGAAGAACAGAATCCTGAGCAGAGATGAGTTTCTGTAAGTTTTAATGTATTAATGTTGTGAAGTACATAGTAGGTAACATCCAAATGGATTCTTCCTTACTTCCTGTGAGGAAAAAGGCAATGGGTAGGTCACTATAAAGATGAATCATTTGGGGATAAGAATTCAGTCAGAATGAGAAAAGCTAGGACTTGGATGCTGAGGAGTAATTCTTGAGATGAGAGGAAATAGGTAGCATTGTAGTCTTGAGGAGCAGAAAGATTTCTTGGTTATTTGAGAGAATATAACCTTTGGAAAGGTGCATTTTTAAAGAAGATTTGCAGCAGTGCCACCTGAGTGACAGTGAGTTCTGCTTCTGGTTCCAAAGAAAAGAATACAAGTATTTATGCCTAGGATTGACTACTGACATCTACATCTGGAAACAGGCTACTGAGGAAAAAAGTGATATTTGATTTATTTGTAAAATAAGCCTCAGCCCTTTTTCTTTTTTTTCAAAAGAATAAGTAATGATTACTTTCAATACATGTATGTTTTGTCATAAAAATTCCACTTAGAATGATTTTGAGCAAATTTGCTACTTTAGTATACCTTATGTATGGGAAATATTATAGCCAGATTTTTCTTTAAATGCCTTCCTGCATTTCTAGGAAGGTATAATAATTCAAATAAATTAATAATTTAACTGAAATATGTAATGAAGATTATTTTATTTTGTAATTATATTTTCATTTTTCAGTGATGCTTATTACACAGTATGTTTTTGTGTAAGATTTAAATTGTATTTTCCTTTTACCTTGCTTTTTTCAATATATGGCATATGGTTCCACATAAATTTTTATGAATTGGTGAGTATGTAAACAGATGCAGCTTTTTAATTATTCAATTAAGAAACAGTGCAAATAGGCTATATCTGTACTATGTTACTATATATTATATTACTTAAATTTAATATGACTTTATATTTACTTTAATATTTAATATTATTTTGTTTGTTTTAATATTAAATTTAGTATTACTTTAATGTTACTATATATTACTTAAGTTTCTATTAATGTGGGGAAACCCCTGCATAGAATATTCAACTCTTACGAACTCTGTGCTTCAGGCTATTATCTGTTTGTTGTGCAGTCATTTCTATTTCAGCCTTCCGTCCCTAGTGTTGGTCCACACTGATGCTTTTGGTTCAGATAAGGTGCTTAGAAATGAAAAAACACAACGTTTCACAATGTCACCGAAGCAAATGAGCACCTTTTCTTCTCTTTGGTTATTCTTGTTACATCTTTTCCTTTTGTTGCTGACCATGGTGCTTCAGGAGGAATAACAAAAGGTAAGATAAAAGATTTTGAGAGATTCTAAAGCCTTTAAAACAGCATCCTGAATGAGATCTTTATTAAATATTTAGGTTGCACATTCTATTTTTTAAGGGACCCACTTTTAGGTAGGTCAAATGGATGACCCACTTCTGAATGTAGATACAAGATTAATAGCATGATTTTTTTAAAACTTTGCTTGCTCAAGTAATTTATTAAGGCAAGAGAAGACAAACATTTCACCTTTGCTTCATAGTATTGAATAGAGAAGTGACTTTTCATATCATTTCCTCGAATCAGTAATATTGCTGGTTATTCATTTGTTTATTCATCACCACAAATATTTAGTTTTCTATTTACTGTGTGCCAGGCACTCTTCTAGAAGCTAGGAACACAGGGAAGATAACATCATGAAGCTTACAGTTTTACAACGTTAGCCACTGTTTCAGTTATCTATAGCTGCACAACAAATCATCTCAAAATCTAGCAGCTTAGGGACTTGCGTCCTGGTCCAGTGGCTGAGACTCCATGCTCCCAATGCAGGGGGCCTGAGTTCAATACCTGGTCAGGGAACTAGATTC